CTAACTTTTTTCTTTCATCCTTTACTTCATTAAAGCAACTTATTTTCTTAGTTTCTTTTATGTCTTAGACCTCTTCACCTTTTCCAACACATAATTTCAAAATTGGTCCATTTTTCCCAATTTTTTTTTTTTTTAGTTGGGATGCCCTTTTCTTCCTTCTCTATTTAGTACAGACATACCTTGGAGATATTGTGGGTTTGGTTCCAGACCACCACAATAAAGCGAATATCACAATAAAGCAAGTTACACAAATTTTTTTGTTTCCCAGGGCATTAAAAAGACAGAAAAAAAAGAAAAGACCAAAATGGATGTCAGAAGAGACTCTGAAAGTTGCTCTTGAACATAGAGAGTAGCTAAAGCGAAAGGAAGAAATGATGAAGTAAAAGAGCTGAACAGAATATTTCAAATGGCAGCTGGAGAAGACAAAGTAAAGTATTATAATGATGTGTGCAAAGACCTGGAGATAGAAAACCAAAAGGGAACAACACACTTAGCATTTCTCAAGCTGAAAAAACTGAAGAAAAAATTCAAGCCCTGAGTTGCAATTTTGAAGGAAGCATCAAAAAAAGATGGAAGGAATACACAGAGTCACTGTACCAAAAAGAACTGATTGACATTCAGCCATTTCAGGAGGTAGCATATGATCAAGAACTGATGGTACTGAAGGAAGAGGTCCAAGCTGCACTGAAAGCTTTGGTGAAAAACAGGGCTTCGGGAATTGACGGAATACCAACTGAGATGTTTCGACAAACGGATGCAGTGCTGGAAGTGCTTACTCGTTTATGCCAAGAAATTTGGAAGACAGCTACCTGGCCAACTGACTGGAAGAGATCCATATTTGTACTCATTCCAAAGAAAGGTGATCAACAGAGTGCAGAAATTATTAAACAATATCACTAATATCAAATTTTGTTGAAGATCATTCAAAAGTGGTTGCAGTGGTACATCAACAGAGAACTGCCAGAATTCAAGCCTGATTCGGAAGAGGACATGGAACCAGGGATACCATTGCTGATGTCAGATGGATCCTGGCTGAAAGCAGAGAATATCAGAAAGATATTGACCTGTATTTTATTGACTATGCTAAGGCATTCGACTGTGTAGATCATAAGAAATTATGGATAACATAGTGAAAAATGGGAATTCCAGAACACTTAATTGTGTTCGTGAGAAACCTGTACTTAGACCAAGAGATAGTCATTCAAACAGAACAAGGAGAATACTGCTTGGTTTAAAGTCAGGAAAGATGTGCGTCAGGGTTGTGTCCTTTCACCATACCTAGTCAATCTGTACACTGAGCAAATAATCCGAGTAGCTAGACTATATGAAGAAGAATGCAGCATCAGAATTGGAGGAAGACTCACTAATAACCTGCAATATGCAGATGATACAACCTTGCTTGCTGAAAGTGAAGAGGACTTGAAGCACTTACTGATGAAGATCAAAAACCACAGTCTTCAGTATGAATTACACTTCAACACAAAGAAAACAAAAATCCTCACAACTGGGCCATTAAGCAACATCATGATAAACAGAGAAAAGATTGAAGCTGTAAAGGATTTCATTTTACTTGGATCCACAATCAACGCCCATGGAAGCAGCAGTCAAAAAATCAAATGACTTATTGCATTGGGCACATCTGCTACAAAAGATCTCTTTAAAATGTTAAAAAGCAAAGATGTCACTTTAAGGACTAAGGTGCACCTGACCCAAGCCATGGTGTTTTCAGTCGCCTCATATGCATGTGAAAGCTGGATAATGAACAAGGAAGACGGAAGAATAATTGATGCCTCTGAATTATAGTGTTGGTAAAAAAATATTGAATATTCCATGGACTTCCAGAGGAACAAACAAATCTGTCTTGGAAGAAGTACAGCCAGAGTACTCATTTAGAAGCAACGATGGTGAGACTTCGTCTCACGTACTTTGGACATGTTATCAGGAGGGACCAGTCCCTGGAGAAGGACATCATACTTGTTAGAGTAGAGGGTCAGTGAAAAAGAGGAAGACCCTCAACGAGATGTATTGACACAGTGGCTGCAACAATGCACTTAAGCATAACAAAGATTGTGAGGATGGCGAAGGACTGAGCAGTGTTTTGTTCTCTTGTACGTAGGGTCCGTATGAGTCAGAACCGACTCGATGGCATCTAACAACAATAACAGTGCATATAAAATTTATGTTTACACTATACTGTAGTCTATTGAGTGTGCAATAGCATTATGTCTAAAAAAATGTACATAGCTTAATGAAAAAATACTTTATTGCTACAAAATGCTAACCATCATCTGAGCCTTCAGTGAGTCGAAATCTTCTTGCTGGTGAAGTGTCTTGCCTCAGTGTTGATGGCTGCTGACTGATCAGCGTGGTGGGTGCTGAAGGTTGGGATGACTGTGGCAATTTCTTAAAATGAGACAGTAATGAAGTTTACTTCATCAATTGACCCTTCCTTTAATGGATGATTTCTCTATAGCATGGGATGCTGTTGGTTAGCATTTTACCCATAGTAGAAATTCTTTCAAAATTGGAGTCAGTCCTTTCAAACCCTGCCACTGCTTTATCAGCTAAGTTTATGTAATATTCTAAATCCTTTGTTGTCATTTCAACAATGTTCACAGCATCTTAACCAGGAGTAAATCCCATCTCAAGAAACCAATTTCTTTGCTCATCCACAGGAAGCAACTCCTCATCCATTAAATTTTTATCATGAGATTGCAGCAATTCAGTCACACCTTCAGGCTCCACTTCTAACTATAGTTCTCTTGCCATTTCTACCACATCTGCAGTTACTTCCCCAAGAAGTCTTGAACCCCTCAAAGTCACCCATGAGTATTGGAATCAACGTCTTCCAAACTCCTGTTAATGTTGATGTTTTGACCTCTTCTCATCAATTACAAATGTTCTTAATGGTATCTAGAATGGTAAATGCTTTCCAGAAGCTTTTCAATTTACTTTGCTCAGATCCATCAGAGGAATCAGTATCTATGGCAACTATAGCTTTAGGAAATGTATTTCTTAAATAATAAGACTTGAAAGTCAAAATTACTTCCTGAACCATGGGCTGCAGAATGTATGTTGTGTTAGCAGGTATGAAAACATTAATCTCCTTGTACACCTCCGTCAGTGCTCTTGAGTGACCAGGTTCATTGTCAATGAACAGTAATATTTTGAAAGGAATCTTTTTTTCTGAGCAGTAGGTCTCAACAGTAGGTTTAAAATATTCAGTAAACCATGTTATAAACAGATGTGCTCTCATCCAGGCTTTGTTGTTCCATTTATAGAGCACTGGCAGAGTAGATTTAGCATAATTCTTAAGAGCCCTAGCATTTTGGGAATGGTAAATGAGATTGGCTTCTACTTAAAGTAACCAGCTCCATCAACCCCTAACAGGAGAGTCAACCTGTCCTTTGAAGCTTTGAAGCCAGGCTTTGATTTTTCTTCTCTAGCTACCGAAGTCCTAGATGGCATCTTCTTCTAGTATAAGGCTGTTTCATCTACACTGAAAATCTGTTGTTTAGTGTAACCACTGTCATTAGTTAGCTAGATTTTCTTTATAACTTGCTGCAGCTTCTACATCAGCACTTGCTGCTTCCCCTTGCACTTTTAGGTTATGGAGGTGGCTTCTTTCCTTAAACCCCATGAACTAACTTCTGCTAGTTTCACACTTTTCTTCTGCAGCTTCATCACCTCCCTCAACCTTCATGGAATTGAAGAGAGTTAGGGCTTTGCTCTGGATTAGGCTTTGGCTAAAGGGAATGTTGTGGTTGGTTTGATCTATCTAGACCACTACAACTTTCTCCATGTTAGCAATAAGGCTGTTTTACATTCTTATCATTCATGTGTTCATTGGATTAGCACTTTCAATTTCTTTTAAGAACTTTTCCTTTGCATTCACAGCTTGGCTAACTGTTTGGTTCAAGAGGCCTAGCTTTCAGCCTCTCTCAGCTTTTGACATGCCTTCCACACTAAGCTTAATCATTTTGAGCTTTTGATTTAAAATGAGAGACATGAGACTCTTCCTTTTGCTTGAATACTTAGAGGCCATTGTAGGGTTATTAATTGGCCTAGTTTCAATATTGTTATGTCTCAGGGAATAGGGAGGCCTGAGGGGAGAGAGACAGACAGGGAAACAACTGGTCAGTGGAGCAGTCAGAACGCACACAACATTTATCAATTAAATTTGCCATCTTATATGGGTATGGTTCGTGGTACCCCAAAACAATTACAATAGTAACATCAAAGATCACTGATCACAGATCATCATTACAGAATATGATAATAATGATAAAGTTTGAAATACTGTGAGAGTTACCAAAATGTGACACAGAGACACGAAGTGAGCACATGCTGTTGGAAAAATGCTGTCAATAGATTTTCTCCACGCAGGGTTGCCATGAACTTTCAATATGTAAAAAATGCAGTATCTTCGAAGCTCAATAAAGGGAAGCACAATAAAATGAAGTATGCCTGTGTACTCCTCCCTGTGCTTTAAGATCTAAAAAAAATATTGCCTCCTTAAGAATCCTTCATCGACACTTCCTCCAGGCAGAATTGATCTTTCATGTGTGTGCCTACAATACTTTGTTCCATTTTTAGTGCACTTATCTTGTTGTTTTCAGTACTTGTTCATCTGCCTTATCAAATCAGTGAGTTCCTCAGGAATAGAGAGCTCCTCTTTATAACCCCTGTACCTGTGTGCTAACCAGTCAATAAATAATTTTCAGGTCCTGAATGTATGGGCCCCTACTTTTGGCTCTCCTATGATGGTCAACACTTACCCTCAGTTGATCTTATTTGATTTTTCTGCTATTTCAAATGAAGGACATGATATTTTGGGTAATCTAGATTTTCTTATTTAGCTTTTCCTCTCAAGTAATTTAATCATTTGCAAAGCAATTTTCCTACTCTTAGGAAGTAACTAAAACTGCTTTAGAATTAGATTGCTCATAAAATTTGAAAAGGCTCAGTAATCATTAATGGAAGTTCTTTTGCATTTCCAGGTGATGCAACTGTGACAATAGCTCACAGATATACCCCCAAAGAACAATTGAAGATCCATACTCACCTGGCAGATGTTCTTGTAGTAGCTGCAGGTAAGTTCTTAGTGTCTGGTGCTTAGTGGACTCTCATTAGCAGAGTAATTCCTACCCTAATTGCTGACAGATTTGAAAGAATAGTTTCTTGGGAGAGTTAGGTATGTGTATGACTAGCTTTCATCTACTGGATTATACGTCTTGGCAGTCATCATATTGGTCCATTTTGTTTGTGTTAGCATTTGTCAATTCATCATGGAACCCCAAGCAGCCTTTGGAATGACAGATTAAGCACAAGAACAAATCTGCATTTTGCCAACTATTTTGACAAACTTGACTGAGCAGCAATTATGGAAAAAAGTCAGTGTGGGTCAATAATGTATTGTGGCTGTGGGAATGAACAAACAAAAAAAGCAAACAACAACAAAAAACTAATGTATTTTCAAGTTGTATTAATGATACTACAGTGTCCAGATAGACAACCACTATGCTCTAGTGGCCACATTAAGGCTGAAGAATTATGTTCTGGGTTCTAGTCATTAAGGGGAAAGTTGATGGACTGGATCGTGTGTATAGGGGAGCATCTGGGATAAAAAAGTTTCCAGAAAAGGTGACTTATGACATGTGATCTAATGAACTGAGGATATTTGGTCTGGAAGAAAAAAAGTATGATTTAAAGAAGAGACAGTGATTTTTTTGTTTGTTTATTTTTTTTAATAACCATAAAGAGGGAAAAAAATCTCATTGCTGCCTGAAAATCCTCAGTTCTTGAATAATGAGTTCCCTATCACTGCAATGATTGGGAAAAAGATAAGAACTTATCGAGGTCCCTGTAGAGCATTATTTACCAATTTTTATTAACTTTTGCACCATTATGAATGACAAAAAAAACTCATTCCCTCTTTTAACATCATGTTTTGATAAATTAAATATGATAGCTAAAAACATATGCAAATGGTTATAATTTTTTTGAACTTTTGTTCTCTGGAGAATATGTTACATTCCTTCTTTACTCCTTACCACTTAGGAGCACTGTAGAGAATTTTCATGTATTGAGTAGCAGTTTAGACTCGTTGAATTTTAGTATTTTCTGAAATTCTGAGATGATGTTATTCTATGTTTTAATGTATGGAAGAAAGAGTAGATTTATTTGTGCTGCTCTACAGAGTAAGTTAACAAGAAAGATATTTTCTTTCTTGGGCCAGAATGTAGAGGAACGGGTTGTGTGTGGATAATTCTCTTACAGGTATTTAAGAGTTTATTGTATTGTTCTGATTTTAATTAAACATGAATACTTCTGAATAGCGAAGTGGCTATTGAAGTTATTCATTCAATCAATAAACATTGAATAAACTCTTACTATGCACCAGAAGGAAACCCTGGGGGCATAGCGGTTAAGAGCTATAGCGGCTAACCAAAAAGTCGACAGTTCAAATCCACCAGGTGCTCCTTGGAAACCCTATGGGACAGACAGTTCTACTCTGTCCTATAGGGTCACTATTAGTTAGAATTGACTCAATGGCAATGGGCTTGGTTTTTGTTTTTTTTATGCACCAGGAGCTGTTCTAAGTTCTAGGGATGCAGCAGTGAACAAAATCTCAGCTCTTGTAAAGCTTATATCTTAGTGGGAGAAATAGCAAATAAACAAGCAATAAAATATAATGCCAGGTAGCGATTAGTGCTATAATAAAAAATAAAGTTGGGTGAGAGGATAGAATGCACAGGGGTACTATTAGATAGATTGGTCAGCTAAGTGATTGGTCAGCATTTTCTGGGGAAGTGACGCTTTGAAGCAGAGTCCTTTTCCTGGCTCTTCTCCATTTGCCCACTAGATCCAATCTCTGCCATTCCCTGCCTTGCTCTGGCCCAGGGAAGCTGGCTGCTGAGGACGATCTCACCCAAGCTCCTCTGCTGCTGGTTCCTGGCAGTGTTTGGCACCAACAGGAGATCAGAGGGAGGAGAGAATGGTCAGATCTCGCTATATCTTATCTACTCCCTTCCTACTTCTGTCTGTTTTCTACTTCCTCCTGTGTCTATGGCTTCTGCTGAGAAGCTTCCCTCTCTCCCTGCAACAACACTGTTTCCTGACCTCTGCCTCTTCCGTCCTAGGGATGGTACAGGCTTCCTGCTGTTTCTAATCTCCAATTTCCTCAATATTCCTTTGTTTTTCTCTTAACCCTGACCATATCTTTGAAACAGTGTCTTCATTAATGTCTCCGTCTGACTTGTCTGAGGTTGATTCTGTTTCCTCCCAGGACTCTAACTGATGCAGATCTAATAAAGTGAAAAAACAAATCAAGGAAAAGTCTTGGGGGAAGAGCATCCCAAGCAGAGGGAACACCAAATACAAAAGTGTTTATGGAGGAGTATGGTTGGGCTGTTCCAGAACATGGATATTTGAGAGCTTATTCTATCATCCTGATTTTAATTAAACATGAATTAATTATGGGGAGGCTGATAGGAAATAATGTTGGAAAGGTAGCTAGGGCTAGCTCATGTAGGATGTTGTAGGCCATGGCAAGGACTTTGATATAAGCCACGGGTGACTGACAGCAGGAGATTGACATGATCTAGCTTATGTTTTTAAAAGATCACTCAGACTTCAAGGAGAATTGCCTCTAGAGGAACAAGAGTAGAAACAGAACAGTTAATGCACTTGTGTTTAATGAATCTTGATTTTCCCTAATTTGTTTTATAGTCAAACATACAAAATAATTCTACTCTTTATTTCTACCTTTATTCTTGCCACCTAGTACTTCTGTGTTGCAGAGATAATTGTGACTCTTCTTACTTCATCTAAGACTTGAATGAGAGCCTTTTTCATTTTCATCAATTAGATGTTATTGGTAATTTCTATGAAGAGGACAATGATGGTTTAAATTAGTTTCAAGCAAATTTAATTCAGTTCCCTATTCTCATGTAGGTTCTCTTCTGGAACCCTGAATACATTTTGTAATGACTCCTGGAGCAGTGATTTACCTTCTTGTAGAGTAAAGATAGAAATGTTCCCTTTTCCAGAAGTCACCAATAAGCTGGTACAGCTAACCACATTTCTTATGTTGCTAAGAAATTGTATTCATGTAACATCAAATGGAAAATTTTGAGTGGGTTTGACAGAAGATAAATGCTTAGAGAGACAAATTTTTTCAGACCATGGATCAACATTAAGTGATATACTGCTATAGTGATTGACACATTCATAGGAGATGTTATATTGACTTATTTTTAGAATCACTTTGATTCACAAACAAGACTCTCAGAATTTGGTGAGCAAAGAGATATTTGAGTGGTCATCCTTCTCCATCTCTAACTCTAGACATAATTATATTTACATTATTTTAAATTTAAAGGTGACAGCTGATCCTAATGTTTACAATTTGCAAAGAATATTTCACAGTTGCCTTTAGTTTCCATGTATCTATCAATTGTAATATTGAATGAATATTTTATTCTATTAGAGCAAAATCCCTCAGGATGCATTCATGCTCATGTTTTATTTTATCATCATGAAAAATAGCAAATGGTGATCACAATCTTCTTTTAAGATCCACTGATATTTTCTTGTGATTAAATCAATCCTTATGTCACAAGCTGTTATACCAACACTATCGTCATCCTTGAGTTGATCCTATAGACTCACTGTGAGTTCCTCTTCAAAGGCGTAAATCAGCGCTGAGGATAAGGTGTTAAAAAGAAGACAGGAAAAGAAGGGAAAGGAAGGTCAAGCCTCTATGAAATTAATAAAATAAGAGCCAAGAGGTAACCAGGCCCCTAGGTGTGGAGACAGTATTAAGGCTCAGTTATTCCACAGAGAATGTTCTCCTACCATTAGGGGGCACCAGTCAGTTTCACAGCAATTTTAGACCTAGTTAAGTTGGCCACACACCTTCCTAGTTCTGGTCTGAAGACATTTTGAATTAAGCCAGTAGGAACAGGCCCTATTCTTGACCTTGTATTACAGCTCAAAAGTCTCTGATGAAATATAAAGGTGTGCTGAATGCCAGAAGAGAGCCCTGTATATGACACTGCAGTCATCCTGAAGAAATGAATATTTGGTTAATGGAAAATTTTGTGGAAGAATTAACTAATGATTGATACACTTCTACTTCCTGAATAATCACCTGGAGAATTTAAGGATGAAAATATGTAGGTATTTGGAAATCACAGTGAAATTATAGAGAAAATATGAATTAATGCAAAAAATAAATTCTATATAGTCAGACAATAGGAATAAAGTGTTACTAAAATGACCACATCATGCATTATGTGTGGGAAGTAAGCAAATACAATTAACAGTGAGTATTAAAGAAAGAGCTGGTGATCTAATGGCATAGGTAGCTCTAACAGGGAGGGCTGGACTCCTGTCATAACTAGAATGTCAGCATATATGTAAGCAGTCCCATATAGAACTCAGGAAGAGTAGAAGGAGGAGTACTGCGTGATAGATCAGAAAGATTGATTATGTCTGAGAGATGACAGTGAAGAACGTGGTGATGAAATCTCTGAATGGGCTTGCAGAAGAAAAAAGTAAAACCGGAAATCGTGTAAATCTCACAACGATCATGGGCATGAATAAAGTTAGTTTATGTTAATAGTAATCTCACCTCTTCAGTTTCTCAGATTCCCATAGTACAAATCTTATAGGTTTAACTATATATATCACTCACCTCTTAAACATCTCTTCCCTACCCCTCAAAAAATCGTGACTTAGGCTAATTTAGAAGCTCAAATCTGAAAAGGCTTCAAGACTCTATTCAAAGTCACCGTCTCCGAATTCACAGAGACAATTAATCTGTTTCTATGGCACTTTAATGTATCACGGTTATAGCACTTAAAGCCTATTTATAGTTGTCTGTCAACTTCACTGAACTATGGCAGAGACAGGACTGGAATTTTTTTTTTTTTTTTTTTTAAAGCTTGGTATCCAAGTGCTTAGAACAATGTCTGACACACAGTGAATGTTCAATAAATATGTACTGCATTGATTTTTAAATTGCAACTGGAATAGGGACTTCTTCAAATTGATAAAAATGTAGCTGATATGATTTTAAACATATAAT